CAGGTTGAGACATTTTTTCTTCGGGTTATCTTTACATTGACCGATAAGAAATCAAGCGGCACGAAGGCACTCTTTCACAGGCAGCCGCTCCTGTTCTGTTAAACGTAGGAAAATGAAATTCCGAATCAACCTGGGCACTTTTAAAGATTCGGAAAAGGAAAAAGCGGTATGCTAATCACATGACATGCGCAAGTACACCGGCCGGTCGATCGGTCTGATCCAGAATACCGCATCTGCAGTGGCCATTCTCTGATTAGTCCGAGTACAGTTGGTCTTACCGCCTAAATTCGACCAGACAAAACTCCGCTCCACCATCATCTTGACCGTTGCATTTTAATTCATGTCTTGAATCGAACTTTTCAGAAACTCATCCTCAGGCCACGATGAAATCTGCTTGGGCCTGAAATACTGGAACCGGTGATAAGGGATCAACCTAAATATCATGTTCAACGACAAAGATGTTGGGAAGCATTCTGTGTTCCATTCCTTAGCTGTAAAAATAGAAAAAAGCACAGAGCACGATAGGATAGGAAATCATCAGTACAGCCTCCTTTCCGCGATACATGTGTTCAGTATGCTTCTGAAACTTTTCCATAGTATCTTTCGCGGTTTTAGAGTTCGCATGGAGTTAATATTTTTGCCTTACTTTTACTTCCCCTTCTTTTTCATGCTAATGTAACCTTTCTGAAATTAAAAAGCGCACTATGGTTATCAGGTAACCGCCATCTTTGACGGTGTTACGGGGATGCATTCCGAGTAAGAATTCAGAACGGAACAATTATCGGACCTTATTATCCTGAGCTGTGAGTTCTCCTTTTGTTTATATCGTCAGCATTATTTGAGTCCATTATTTTTCCGGAAGCCATCCGAGTGGTCATTGACTTTCTTGTGGATACTATTTACTAATAAGCGAACACCATCCATCTGTTGTATGCATCGTGTGCCAAATAAGCAGACTGTCTAGTTCTAAGACTTTTTGCTATAACTGTAGAATCGAGTGAATTTCATTCCATTCCAGGTTGACCGCTGGTCAGTGCCAAGGGAAAAATTGCTAGTTGCAAAGTTTGAGAACCAGTTACAAACTGTTACTAGTCAAAATGTCAGAGTGAAACATAATTGTGAAATATTTTGTTCGCTTTGTTGATAACCGGCAAATGTTGCGTTTCAGTGAATGGCACCTGCGAAGTAGTCAGGAGAAATAAGAGAAATGGATGGAGCCGCTTTCAAACAGGTGGAATCCATACATCAAAAAGCGACAGGTACTAATCGGAGGCACTAAGCAGCCGGCCCAAAAACCTGGCATTGTTGCAGAACAGTAGCATCACTAACATGAGATAGCCACACTGATTGTTTGAGCGAATTAGCAATTTTGGTAATAAATTCGACGAGGTCAAAAGTCATTTCGTTTTACTGCCTGTTTCTGTATAAGTATAATACCATTAGGAACTCAGTTTGGAAACGTTGGGAACAAATTATGCAAAAACAAGTTCGGACAAGCCAACGACCGCAAATTCTTCCGAAATCATTGGCAGCGCGCATCAAACGGGTCCGTGCAATCATGCATTTTTGCAGTATTTCGTGCTGTAGTGAGTTCGCCTAGAATCACAATAAATAGAATTAGTTGGTCCTGGAACTTCAAGAAGTTAATTGTGCAACTACCACCTGTTACTTGGAAAGGATGGGAAACATTCTGTAAAAATCTCAACTTTCCGGCTTCCCGACTTAGCGATTTTCCCGCAAAAACTTTCGCGCGCTCATAGAAGGGGTCCGAACGTGTGTGAGGGTTTGCACCGCGGCCCTGGGGTGGCACTTAGCTGACGAATACGGTGGCAAAATTTTGGCACCGGGGCTTGCTTCGTTGCCCAGGTAAAATACCCGGACACACACACACACATATATTTATATGTGCACACCCCGGGGTATTCAAAATATGTGCTTTTGCACGTGCATTTATGCAAAAGCGCATAAAAAGGAAAATTATTCTAAAGATTTAGAAGAAAATGCTATGTAAAATAGCCTACTGGGGGTTTTTGCTATAAAAGCGAATCGTTGTTTCGCTCTAATTCATTTCATACATTTGTCATTTTGTGGACAGCGGCAATTTCCATAATTCCTAAAGGCGCAGTGTACAGTAGCAGATCGGGGGTTTCGTATGTTTCGAGTTGTTGCGGAACGAAAGCGAAGAAAATGGAAACGGAAGATTTAATAGAAGGTGTGACAACGTTGAAAGATTTGGTAGAAGATATGACAGCGGTGGAAGATTTGATGGAAGATGTGACAGCGGTGGAAGATTTAATGGAAGATGTGACCGTAGATACATCGGTAGAAGATATGGATGGACAGAAATTTCTCGATGTTTTGTGGATTTACATGAAAGATTTCTGTGATATTTTTGTTGGAGCTTACATAGCCATGTTTGCGATTAGCAAAGCGCTGCTTTTATCGTCGTTTGCAAAAGCCAGTAAACTACCGGAAGAGGTCGGGAATTCGTTGTTTGGAGAATTCAGGCATATTTATGATTCTGGGCCAGTACCAGATGATTTCGATTATTCCTGCATGGTAATGTAAGTTATTCTTCTTTCAGATTACATAGTCTTAGACAGCAAACTCACTGCACGTTAAATTTTAACTTTTCTTTGTAGCAAATATGATTTTTCAAGGACAGACAAATTATTTTGGTTGAACACATTCAAATGTGTTATAAATCTTTACCAACAAGAATATCCCTTTTTTAGCTTCATATACAGTCGTATGCGTCCTGAAAGTGATGAATTTTGTCATAGAATCGTCAAATACCTATTTATATCTTGTAAATTTAGGAAGACCTAGTTGACGAGGCCCATTTCAGTTAAAAAATATTTATGACTTAATGAACCGAAACATCTTGTCTCAACTTTTCTTAGCCTCTTAGTCCCTTCAGCTATGTTGTGGCAATCACGCTAGTGACGTCTGCATGGAATTTCTATATTTAAACTTGACGGTTCAGAAATCACTTTAAAAATCTATTTCGCACCAGAAGTTTAACTTTTGTTGAGTAGTAAAAATGGTTTCAGTGATCATTTCTGGAATTACGTTATCATTAACGCAAAATGCTATGGCGAGAAATTTGTCGGCACATACCTGGGACATTTGGTTATTTCAGGGATTGCACCAAACAGCACCCTGCTTTTTCTATTCCTACATTTTTTGCTACCAAAATATGTATTACTT